TTTAGGGGCAAGTTTAGGAGCAAACAATTCCCATCCCAGCAGGGACAATGCCCGGCATTTTAATCCGGGGGTTATTATGGTCATGGATGCGCAGCTGCATGTGCAGGGTCGCTGCCATGGTGGGGACCAGGCAATGCCCCTCTCCTGCAGAGCCGCCTTCCCTGTGCCTGGGCACCGGGGGCAGGATGCAGCCCCCAGCCCGGAGCCAGGGGGGTGATGGACTGGCTGTGGCGGTCCCATCGCGTTAGACCTGCACCAGTCACATCCCAGCGAGCCCAGAAGACACCCCCCCCCCCCATGCCCAGTCTCCTTAGGGCCCCCTCCAAGGACACTTTCCCCTTCCCCAGCTCCCAGCGCAGTGGATCTGCTCCCAGCCCCAAGGAGGAGGCTTTATACCAGCCCCGTTAGACCTTTATAAGGCAACAGCCCCCGCGGGGCCGTGCCTCCAGCATCTTTCCTCCCAGCTGCCTTGGGATTGTTTTCGGAGCACAGAGGAGCCAAATTTAGCCGGTGACAAAGGCGCTGCATTCCCCACAGCCGTGCCCCGGGGACCTGACCAGGGACCGGGCTGCTTCAGATGCCATTTGCTCCAGTCTCAGGTTTCTTCCTCTGCTGGGACCTGGAGTGAGGAGGAGGAAAGGGCAGGAGAGGGATCGGGCAGCAGGACCCCTGGATTCAGAGCTTCAGCATCGGTTTCAGAGCACAGGTGCTGCCATGGGGGGCCAGCAGCAGGAGCCCAGGATCTCCCCATCCCTCCTCTCCGGATGATGGGATGATGAGGATGTCTTGGGTCTCCATCCCCAGCTCAGAATCCACAGTCAGCTGCCTCAAGATGAGGGCTGTTTTGTTAGGTACCACCCGAGGCTATGGGCACCCCCTGGAGCTCCTGGTAGGTAGGAACGGGGCAGGCTGGAAACTATGGGGCAGAGCAGTGCTGGGGCCAAATTCAAAGCAAAGTAATATCCTCCCATCAGTTCAAGTGGTTCCCCATTGGATGCCATGGAGGGGGTGATACCAACAGAGAAATGTATGGGGAGCACAGACCCACCCAGGACCAAGTCCCCAAGGACATCCCACTTGTCCCTATAGGTCCCAGTGGTCCTACAGGTCCTCTGTGGTCAGCCTTTTACAAGTGGACAACCTTGCACGTGTTTGGATGGACCTGAGCAGTTCTCCTCTCCCTCCGGACGTGCTGAGTCCCTGGAAGATGTTGGTGCTTCCTCACTGTTGGGCATCAGCCCCACAAGCACAGCAGGGGCTGCCGGGGCTGCCCTCCAGCTTCAGGTCGAACTGCACTGGGGCTGCAACGGTCCCTGTTGTTGGGCATCCAAACTCAGAAGGTATCTGACACACGGGATCAGGTTGGTTGCTCCATATGAAACCTATTTCCCTGCAGAAGCAGGCTTGCAGCGAGGCTGGAGGGATTCCTTTCCCTCCTCAAGGCCCTGGAGCCATCCCACCCATGCTGTCCATGCCCTGGTCCTCCTCTCATCCACCCCAGTGACACTGCACACCAGGACAATGGGAGACAAGCCTTCCACTTGTGGGGATACTGAGGGAAAAGCTGGTTTTCCTTAAATGCCTTGGGGACACTCAAAATGTTTGGAGAAGGGTCCAAAGCTGAGGAGGGGTCTCTCAAAGTGATGAGGTTCTTTATGAACCCCAGCATAAAGTGCTCCCTGCCCCATGTTACTGGCAGTAAGTAAAGTCTTTATTATGTCAGGAGGTATTATCTACTTTGGGATAGTGGAAAGACATTATCCCAATGGAGCTGAGCACCCACTGAAGGATTCCAGCTCTCCATGGTTTTGCCAAGTGACACGTGAAACCTCAACACTGATCTTGTCGACTCTGATAAAACAAGGGGAGGATATTCAATGTGTGTCAATGGGCGGACACGGTTGAACAGTGATGGCAGCTTAAACATCCTAAAACCCAGCCTGGTTTGCAGGCTAATGCAAAATATTTCATGGAGAAAAAGAGACTATTTCAAATAACCCCAAATTTTAGGCCTTTTTAGACACTTTTTCAGGGGGGTTAAGGCATTTTCAGGGTATTTCCAGGCCCTCCCATCTGTCTCTGAGACAGTCGATGCACATCAGCATCCCTTTTGCTGCAGGGCTGGGCTGAGCCATCACCAGGGCATTGGGGCTGCTCAGCCTGGAGAAGGAAGCTGAGTGGAAACCTCAGAGCAGCTTCCAGTGTCTGAAGGGGGCTACAAGGATGCTGGGGAGGGACTCTTCATTAGGGACTGTAGTGATAGGAAAAGGGGTAATGGGTTAAAACTGAAACAGGGGAAGTTCAGGTTGGAGATAAGGCAGAAGCTCTTCCCTGTGAGGGTGCTGAGGCGCTGGCACAGGGTGCCCAGAGAAGCTGTGGCTGCCCCATCCCTGGCAGTGCTCAAGGCCAGGTTGGACACAGGGGCTTGGAGCAAGCACCCGTGCACCTACATTCACCCCCACAAAGGGTGCCAGCCCCAGCACCCATGGGTGCTCTGGGGTGGGTGGCACAGAGTAGCCCCAGCACTGGCAGTGGTGGGGGGGGTGATGGATGGAGCAGGGGCTCCTGCCTTTGCTCTTGGGCAGCACTGGGGAACCCTGCTCTGCTCTGGGGCTCAGCACCCAGCACAGGGGGACCCTGGAGCCAGTGTTCTGGGGGGGGGGGGATGCTACGAACACCCCCCTGCCATGCCTCAGCTTCCCCATCTCCAGGGTCATTGAAACGCCTCCCATGCATCCTCTCCCTTCTTCTTTTGAGATGATCTTAAGGTCCTTTCCAACCCTATTCTATGATTCTGCATAAGGGACCTGTTAACTCCTTTGTGTCTCTGCAGGCAACTAAAAATACCTTCACCGTGCTGGGCCTCCTGCAATGCTCCCAGTGCCCTTATCCCCTTCTCTCCTTGCGTTCCCTACGTTGCTGTCCTGCCTGCAGGAGGTTTTCCCTTGGGTAAAACCACCCCATTTGCCCAATTCCACCCCTCAGCAGTGGGCCCCATCCCGGTGCTGGGGGATGCACCAAGCTCTGCCCCTGCTCCGGGGTGACCTTTTCCTCAGTATCAACCATTGAGCCCTGAGAGGTGAACCCAAACTGCCTCCCCCTCATCCAGCGCCCACCCCTGGCCCTGCTCCCAGGGTCAGGCTGTGAAGCCACCCATCCATCCGCCACAGGACATTCCCAATCCTGCAGGATCACTTGGTACAGGCAGGGGCTCTGTTGGTCTGCAGAGAGATGAGGAGCTTAGGATGGGGATGGAAAATCTTGGCTTTGCCTCTGCCCAATCTGAAATGGGATTTGCCTTGCTCTTTCTGTCCTTCCTCCTCCATTACACACACTCATCTCAACTGTTTTCTTCCCCATTCCTCGCTGGCACTTGGAAAACAGAAAACCTCTATTCACAGTGAGTGGGAGCATAGAAAGGTCGAAAACAAGGAATCAGAGCATCCAAAAGGGGCTTGAAATACAGAAGAGTTCAGAAAACCCCTCGCGCTGCGCGCTCCCCACCCCTGGGTGTTTGCAGGGCTTTGAGCATCACTGAATCCCCTGGCTCTGGCATTGGGGATTTATAAGACCCCCCAGGACAGAGATCCTTGCCTTGGGAATGCAGCAACCCACTCCCTCCTGCAATGCGTGTGGGGAGCGGGTCTGGGGGCTGCTCCATGCAGGGCTCCGTGCCCAGGGTGTTTCCTATGGGCAGGGCCCCAGGTCCCACCATCCCTGGAGCCCACCAGGTCCCTCCGTCCCTTCCGCAGCACAGGGATGTGCAGGGTTTAGATCCGGATCCATTTGCACCCGGTCACAAGCAGGGGGGCGCCTCAGCAAGAGAAGCTCTGAGGCCCAGGGATCGCATTCCTTGGGTGGAAAACCACCAAAACGCTCATTACCAAGAGCCGGTGGGACCCTGGCCCCGCACACGGAGCTCTGGCCACGCCACTGTCCATCCCCACAGCCGCTGAGGTGCCCCCACGGGCCCCGCTGGGTCTGACGGGGGTGGCTGGGGCTGGGGCTGGGGCCGGGATGCTCGGCTCTGCCATTCCCACGCATCCCGGCAGGAGGATCCGCAGCGCCTCCGGCCGCGGCGCTGGGGCTCAGGCTCCGGCTTGCGCAGCGCCGGTGGCTCCAGGCGCTCGTGTCTGCGCTGCCTGTCGGGGCAGAGCCATCCCCATCCCTGCAGAGCCAGGCGGGCTGCTCCCGGGTCGCCTGCCCACAAATCACCGTGAGAATCCCCTGGGACACAGCCGCAGTGGGATGGGGGGGACCAGAGAGGCTCGGATAGGGATGGGGGGTTTGGAGCCCAGCTGGTGGGGATGCTGGAAGCTTTAGGGGGGTGCAAACGACAAGCGAGGCTCTGTGCAGGATTTGTGCTCTCCCATGCCCTGCAGGGTGCCACAGATCAAAGCAACACCAGGTAAGCAGCAGAAGGTCCTGTTTGGGGACATTTTTGGTACAGGGAATCAGGGTCCCCATTGCCTTCCCTGGTGTTTCCCCACCAGCCTGAGGACAGCTCAGGGCAGGACAGTGTCCAGCAGCACAGCCACGTCACCATGCCATCAAGTACAGTGCCCAGAGGGGTCCCTGCTGCAACAGCAGCTCTGCAGCCCCTTCTCAACATGAGGGCTAAGGGGGATCCATGTCCCTGGCCATGTCCATCTGTCCCAGTGTCACTGGCATTTGGGCAGAGCTCACCGACACCCTGCTGCCTTCAGGCTCAACCTCATCCCTCCCCTGTCCTGCAGGAGAGGCCCGGGGGTCCCCATCAGTTCACCAAGGTCTTGGCCATGTCAGCTGAGGGCTGGAGGACCCCAGGCAGGGATGTCACCTCCTGCCATGTCCGGAGCCCATGATGGTGGCACCCGCTGTGTCCTTTGCCCCATCGTGCCAAGGGGATGTGGCTGGATGCCTGCAGCTGCAGCTGCACCAGCCCAGCTCCCGCGATGCTGCTGTCCTGCCCCAGGGCAAGGGGATTCAGCACCCACACTATGTCCACAGGGCCACCATCCCCTGGCCACAGACAGCAGGGGCCTCACTTGCCCGTACGGATCCCATTGTCCCCACTGCCCGCTGAGCCGAGGGCCATCTCCATCCTGCTCTTGGGATGCTGCATGTCCATGGGCTGTCCCACCGGGGCTGCGTCGAACTGTACCACTGCGGAGAGATGGAGTTTGTCACCCACCCGGCCAGTGCGGAGACATGGATCCAGCCCCGAGGGAACTGGGGAGGGGAAGCAGCCATGGTCATCACCATCATCCCATGTGCAAGATGGTAAAGGGCCCCGTATCCCTTGGGGCCATCCCAGACAGAGGGAGGGTGTTAGAAAGTCCCTCTCCAGTGATGTGTGGAGGTGAAACCCAATGAGGGATGCAAAGGGCAGAGAAGGGGGACACAGGACCACCACCCAGCAGGCCCATCCCCATCCATGGGACCCTCTCTGTGACCCCCATGGGGAATCACTGAACCACTCAGAGATGGGACCTCAGGTGGGTCCTGCCCCCCAACCCACGATGCAGGGATCCCGTACCTGCTCTGCAGCTGTGCCGGGCGCGGACAACCTGGATCGCCTGCTGGTTCTTGAAGCGGACGAGGCCCATGGTGATCGCAGCGTTCCAGCCGGGGTCCTCCTGCGCGCAGCGGAAGTCGATCTCGTGGCTGTCGTCCATCACCACGGTGAAGTAGATGTGCCGCTCCTTCCACTCCACGCACTCCACCGCCTTCATGCGGGCGAAGCTCAGCTCCTTGCGCCGCGAGCCCTTGGGCTCGAAGAGCTGCAGCCCCTTCTCCGTCAGCAAGCAGCGCTTCTTCTTCCAGAGCTGCAGCAGCCCCCCGCTGCGCTTCTCCAGCACCCCCTCCCTCAGCACCTTCTCGGGGGTCATTGCGGCTCCTCAGCACCGGGGCATCACCCACCGGGGGGTCTCCAACCGCTCCGTGTCAGAGCCACGCGTCCCAGGACCCCCCCGGGCACTCACCAGCGGCACTCAGAGGGGAGCAGCGGGGAGCCCCATCGCCGGCCCCAGCCCTGATGCCGGGGCTCTGCTCCCAGCCCTGCGCAGCGTGTGTGGGATCCCGGCACCGCGCGCCCCAGGAGCTGTCGCTACTTGCCCGGCCGCTTCCCACTCGCATTCCTGCCGCCTCGCCTGGCCCCTCCTGCGGCGCAGGCACCCACAACGCCCAGGCGAAGCCCGGCCAGGCCCAGGCGGCCCCGCGGCACCGGGAGGAGCTTTTGGGGTTGCCCCGAGGGCCTCGTGTGAACCGGCAGCGTGTGGGGATGGGGCTGCACCGCAGGGGGCTGGGGCACTGCAGGGCAGCCCGGGCATGGGGTGCAGTGCAGGCCTTTGGGGTGCAGTGCAGGCCTTTGGGGTGCAGTGCAGGCTGTTGGGGTGCCATGCATGCTGTTGGGTGCAGTGCAGGCTGTTGGGGGTGCAATGCAGGCTGTTGGGTGCAGTGCAGGCTGTTGGGTGCAGTGCCAGCTGTTGGGTGCAGTGCAAGCTGTTGGGGGTGCTGTGCAGGCCTTTGGGGTGCAGTGCGGGCTGTTGGGGGTGCAATGCCAGCTGTTGGGTGCAGTGCCGGCTGTTGGGGGTGCAGTGCCAGCTGTTCAGGGTGCAGCGCCAGCTGTTGGGGTGCAGTGCAAGCTTTTGGGGTGCAGTGCAGGCTGTTGGGGGTGCAATGCAGGCTGTTGGGTGCAGTGCAGGCTGTGGGTGGTGGTGTTGGGGGTGCAGTGCAGGCTGTTGGGTGCAGTGCCAGCTGTTGGGGTGCAGTGCAGGCTGTTGGGGGTGCAGTGCAGGCTGCTGGGGTGCAGTGCAGGCTGTTGGGATGCAGTGCAGGCTGCTGGGGGTGCAGTGCAAGCTGTTGGGGGTGCAGTGCAAGCTGTTGGGGTGCAGTGCAAGCTGTTGGGGTTCAGTGCCAGCTGTTGGGGGTGCAGTGCAGGCTGTTGGGATGCAGTGCAGGCTGTTGGGGGTGCAAAGCAGGCTGTTGGGGTGCAGTGCAGGCTGTTGGGGGTGCAATGCAGGCTGTCAGGGTGCAGTGCCAGCTGGCACAAGGCAATAGGGTGCAGTCCTGGTGGGGATGGGGGGCTCTCGGTGCAGTACCAACCAGGAAGGGGCTATAGGGTGCAGTGTTGGTTGTAGTGGGGGCTGCGGGTCTGTGTGTGCAGCACCAGGCAGCCAGGGGCTGTGGGAACCCCTGGGTGGGGGCTCACATGCAGGCAGGAGACATCTGGTGTCTGTGCAGGGCTGCCCTGCAATGGACACAGCTCTCAGCACCCACCTATCCCTGCACCCAAGGGTGCTGCCCAGCCCTCAGCAGCACATCTCCCACTCCCCCCCCATTCCCTGGGACACGGATCTGAATCCCCCAGCAGGGCGCAGCATCCCTCGTGTGAGCGGTGCAGGGGGATGCAGCGCCCAGCGCGGTCCCGCCGGTGCCCGCCCTCCCCTGCAGCAAAACACCGGCTCCTTTCCGCCCCGTCTCGTTCCCGTTCCGGCCACCGCAGCTCCTCTGTTCCTGTGCCAGCGCCTGGCACCGAGAGTCACGACGGGGACACCCGAGGCTGCCAAAGGGGGGTGATGCTCCCTGCCTGCCGTGGTGCTGGGGGCCCGTTCGCCCAGCCAAGGGGAACAAATCACTGCATGGGGCTGGCAGCCCAAGCCCCTGGCTCCGGCATCACCCCCGGCGGGTGCAGCCCCTCCTGCTCCAGCCCCTCCATCACCCCCGTCCCTGCAGCCGGCGTGGCCGGGGGAAACGTCTGCAGCGCCTTGAGCTGCTCCTCATTATCCCTCATTAAGAGGGCAGGGCAGCGCCTGCCGCAGCCAGAACTGGTTCGTGCTCCCCGGGGCCAGCCTCACCGCGCTGGCGATGATCCCGGTGTCCCAGGACACGCCGTTTCCTGACGTCAGGCGGCCCCGGCTCCCCCGCAGCCCTCTGCATCCCTCTGCATCCCTGCAGCACAGCCCCGGGTGCCACCATGAGCACCCCAGCGTGCCCAGAGGGAGCAGAGCAGAAGTGTGGGCTCCCCCCGTGCTCCAAAGGAGCATCCGAGGCTGTTTTCCCACACCCAGGTAAAGCTCGGCTTCAGGGATGCTGAGGTGAGAAGTTTCAGGATTGGTGCTCCCAGGTCTGCTCCAGCGAGCTGGGATGTCCGTGGGCACTTTGGTTGCCCAACCAGACCAATCTCCTTCCCCTCCAGGAAAGCCAAGGGCTGCCAAACCCCTCCAGACCCAAATCCAGTTCCAGATCTGCTGCTCGCTGCCTCTCTAGCCTCCTTCGGTGATCCTGCCCCTCAGCTCTGCTCTCATGAGACCCCCCTTGCAGCACTGGGTGCAGTTTTGGCATCCTCAGCGTAAGGACATGGAGCTGTTGGAGCAAGTCCGGAGGAGGCCACGAGGATGCTCAGGGGCTGGAGCAGCTCCTGTATGGAGCCAGGCTGAGAACATTGGGGCTGCTCAGCCTGGAGAAGAGAAGCTGTGTGGAGACCTCAGAGCAGCTTCCAGTGTCTGAAGGGGGGTACAAGGATGCTGGAGAGGGACTCTTCATTACGGACTGTAGTGATAGGACAAGGGGTGATGGGTTCAGATTGAAACAAACAGGGCAAGTTCAGGTTGGATCTAAGGCAGAAGCTCTTCCCTGTGAGGGTGCTGAGGCGCTGGCACAGGGTGCCCAGAGAAGCTGTGGCTGCCCCATCCCTGGCAGTGCTCAAGGCCAGGTTGGACACAGGGGCTTGGAGCAAGCTGCTCCAGTGGAAGGGGTCCCTGCCCGTGGCAGGGGTTGGAGCTGGAGGAGCTTTTGGGTCCTTTTCAACCCAAACCAGGCTGGGATTCTCTGATTCCATTCTATGGTTCCATCACCACCAGCCTCCAGGCTGCAGGGCGCTCGGCCACGAGCCAATCCTCTGGTTCATCTCTTCAGAGGCCGGTTTGGGTCCCACAGCCTCTCCATGCCGGCAGCAGCAAGGGATGGATGCTGATGGGTGCCACGTGGCTCTGCTGCCTCAAAAGGGAGCTGGGCAACACTTGGGTGCTGGTGTCCAGCACCAGGCTGTGCCCATGCACAGGGAGCAGTAACCAGCAGAGGGTAGCAGATGGTCAGAGCATCCTGCTGCAGTTTGGGCAGGGGATGCTCCAAAAGCATCCTTGATCCCATCTCCAGCCCCTGGGCCTTGCCCACCACCTCCTCTGGCTTAAGCAGGAGGTTGGATTTGAGACCTCTGCAAGGCCCTTCCACCCGACCTGCTTCTGTCTGTGACCCTGTGAAACCCAAATCCAGCACTTTCTCCTGGGTTTGACCAGGCCCTAAGAAGCAAACAGCCTCTGTGGGGTCCATCACGCTTGGTGTATGGCAGTACATCCCCTCTCTCCAACACAACCTCTACACTATGGGAAGAAGAGACTAAAGAATCATAGAATCAGACTGGTTTGTGTTGGAAGGGAACTTAAAGCTCATCCAGTTCCAGCCCCTGCCACAGGCAGGAGGGACACCTTCCACTAGGGCAGCTTGCTCCAAGCCCCATCCAACCTGTGCCATCCGTTATCACCTCACCACCTCAACCACACACCCCAGAGCAATGGGACCAGGTAGAATTTGGGTCTCAGGCTCGGAAACCAGGGATTTGGGAAGGGTTTTGAGATGTTTAAAGAGTTACTCCTTGCCTCAGCTTTGTGTAAAACCCAGGCTGGGAGGAACAGGACAAAGTGCTTAAGCCGATAAAGAAGCCCCAGTCCTGCATCACAGAAGGATTTTTGCCTCTGTTGTGCTTCTCCAATCACTGCCCACCTCATTTCCTCAACCACAACGTTTATAGCTGGGCAAGAAAAACAACCAAAATGAAATTCCCTGTTATTCAGACCCGTTTAGAGCAGCACCAGCACTGAGAGGGGTGTCCATAGGGTGTGCATGTTGTGCTATCAACACACTCTGTCTAGGCCTCCCAGTACCAACCACTCTTCTTCCCATGGATATCCACCTCGGGAGCAGGGAGAACCCAGCCTGGCTGCCCTCAGGTCCCTGCCTTCCATTGCAAACCATCACTTCCAACGCTTCCCATCCTCCCTCCACCTCCTCACCCAGCTCTGGTCCCCCCCCGTGTGCCTCCAGAGCCCCGATGGGGAATGAACCCCAGGCACGGCTCAGTTTGGATCTTTATTGCTGAGCGCGCATCCCGGTGGGATGGGCAGCACGGAGCGGGATGTTGCAGGCCTGGCTGCAGGCGGTGTGAGCTGACCCCCCGCCGGCACCCGCACCAGCAGGACCTGCTGGGAATGATGCTGGGAACCCCACGGTGTCAGGATGCGCCGGGTCAGGGCGGGAGGATGCGGCTCGTGCTGTGAAGCAGCGGGTGGTTACTGGTGGTGGTGAGGATGCTCGCTGCGGTGCGGTGCGGGCCGAGCTGCACAGGCTGGTACAGAGGAGCCCTGGGTACCGGCTCCTGGTGCCTCACTGTGAGTGGACCAGCGCCCCGGCACCCTGCCCGAAGCCAAAGCCCTTGGGACCAAAGTTCTTGGCGTAGCAACCTGCAGAGGATGGGAAGGGAGAGACGGGTAAGGCCGGCAGCTGAACGCGAGCGGGTCCCCTCCTCTCCAAGCAGGCACTGCCTAAACTGGACAGGGTTTGCCGGGTTTGTTGGGCACACAGAAAGGCCTCAGGCACAGCAGGAAACCCAACCAAACCTCAGCCCCATCCTGCTCCATGCACAGGCATTTGCAGGCCCTCTCTCCACCCTTTGTAGCCTGGGACAAGGCAGCGGGGACGGTGGCACTCACAGGGAAGGTGGCACTCACCTTTGCAGTAGATCTCCCCATCTTTATCTGCCAGGGTGGTGGACTCCAGGCTTTTGCCACACTTGGCACAGCGGAAGCAGGACTTGTGCCAGGACTGTGGGACAGGAGCAGAACCCGGTCAGACACCCCCCTGGGGACAGGGAATGAGGCTTTGGCTTCCCAACACCATCACTTCCCTGGTTCTGACCCAAAGCCATTGGCAAAGAGGGTTGAGAACGGGGTGAAAGGTTTTGTGTGGGAAGAATGATCCTCCCAGAGCCGGGGGGGGGAAGATACAGAGAGGAAACATCAGGTGTGGCCACTGCTGGGAGATTTCACCCTCCTCCAGGCATCATTTGTAAGGAGCAATCACCCCCCTTTGGGGATCTGTCCTCCTGGAGGAGCCCTGCAGGTCACCCAGCTGAGATCCATCATCTGCAGGCAAGGCAGGCAGCAAACAGACACTGAGAATGCAGGAATCAGGCAGTGTTTAAAAATACCCCCTAATATCCCCCCCTGCCTGGCTCTGCCAGGCCTCTGGGGATACATGAGCTCAGAGGCAGCCGGAGCTGCTCCAGGAGGAATTTAAACAAACCCTTTGGAAAACACAAAACCTTTTTTGGAAGAAAATGTGAAATTCGGGGGCTGGAGTCATCCAGCAAACATCAGCACATGAAATACGCGCTCTGGAATCCGGCTTCGCGCCAGGGTAATCGCTTTGCCAGCTTTGGTTCCTTGTAAACACGGGGGCCAGAAGCCTACCAGGAAGCCCAGATCATGGTTTTGAGGGTGAATTCAGCTCCTGTCCCTGGGCTGACCCTCAATGTGCTCATCACAAAAGGGCACGATGCTGCTGTGGGAGGCCATTGCTTGTTGACTCGGTGCCTCCTCCCCTTGCTCTGGGGACAGGACCAGCACAGAAGCCCCAGGGAGGGCAGAGCACAGCAGGGTCAGCCAACCCTATCCTGGCCTGCATCAAAAGGAGCATGAGCAGCAGGGCCAAGGAGGTGATCCTGCCCCTCTGCTCTGCTCTCGTGAGACCTCACTTGGAGCATTGTGTGCAGTTCTGGTGTCCTCAACATAAAAAGGACATGGAGCTGTTGGAACAAGGCCAGAGGAGGCCATGAGGATGCTCAGGGGCTGGAGCACCTCCTGTATGGAGCCAGGCTGAGAAAGTTGGGGCTGTTCAGCCTGGAGAAGAGAAGCTGCGTGGAGACCTCAGAGCAGCTTCCAGTGTCTGAAGGGGGGCTATAGGGATGCTGGGGAGGGACTCTTCATTAGGGACTGCAGTGACAGGACAAGGGGTAACGGGTTCAAACTGAAACAGGGGAAGTTTAGATTGGATCTAAGGAGGAAATTCTTCCCTGTGAGGGTGGTGAGGCACTGGAATGGGTTGCCCAGGGAGGTTGTGAATGCTCCATCCCTGGCAGTGTTCAAGGCCAGGTTGGACAGAGCCTTGGGTGCCATGGTTTAGTGTGAGGTGTCCCTGCCCATGGCAGGGGTTTGGAAATTGATGATCTTCAGGTCCTTTCCAACCCTAACTATTCTATGATTCTATGTGGTCAGTGGCCACATCCAGCAGCAGGGATGTCTGCTGCCAGCTCTGCTGAGCAGGGCTCTGACCCTACAGGCCTGTAAGAGCGATGCACCTGGAGAGATGCAGCTGGAGAACCTGGTTTCCTTTTGGTGCCAGGCTTTGGTTTCAGGCCACCAGACCCCAAGCTGAGCCTGCAGCAGCCCATGGGTCCATCCAAGACCTTCTCTGAAGGTCGCCCAGGTACACACCACTCTCAGTGGCCCATCCATCCCAACCCCTTCTTACCTTTCCAGCTCCAATCACCTTCTCGGCTGCATACACGGCTTGGCCACAGCGAGGGCACCCATCAGCACCTCCAACTTTCTGGGCCATTCTGGATGCGTTGGGGTTGGTGGGTCGGTGGGACTGGCCTCTGGGGGTGGGAAGGAGTTTGTGATCAGGGCTGCACATGATGGAGGAGGGAAGGGCTATGGGATCACACAGCCCAACCCGGTTTGGAAGGGCTTTAGGCACATGGCTGTGTGTTAGGAAGGGATGGGAACGTGCTCAGGCAATGAGGACGTGTCTCATCAAGCCCCATCCCACCCTGCAGACAGGGTTCAGCGGCATTCCCCGAGGAGCAGAAGGGCAGAGCAGCTCATGGCATGCTCCACAGAGACGCTGCTGAAGCTCAGCATGGGCTGCACAGCCCGAGCATCACAAGCCTCTGCTTGTGATGTGGGGGAGAAGGGGCACACCACAGCCCCGGGTTGGAAAACAAGACTTAAACTCACTCTTCATATCTGATGCCCAGAGACTCGCCCTTGTCAGTGCTCAGGGTCCCTGCTCCCTGCCCGTATCCATAGCCCTTGGGACCGTACTTCTTGCCATAGCAGGACTTGCAGTAGATCTCCTCTCCATGCACAGCAACAGTGGTGCTGTCCAAGTTCTTCTTACAGACCACTGGAAAAGAGGGGAGGGTCGTTAGCCTGCTCAGCCAGAGCTCACTGATTACCTGCAGGAAACAAGTCCTCACAAGGGATGGGAGATCAGCTTTCAAGGAGTAAGGAAACCCTAGATCAGATCCCGGGGAAAGGGAGTGCATGCAAAACAGCTGGAGATAAGGATCACAACAAGCACATTGTCTGGCTTTAAAAGGAAGCAACCAAGGTCGGCACTAAGGCAAAGCTCTGTTAACCCTCCCGGTGCTGGCACCCTGCACTGAAACCAGGGGACATTGAAATTCCCCTACAAAGGCCTGCAGGACTCAGGAGCACAGGGATGGATGTCCCTGCCACACTGCCCGTCCACTGCAAGTAGCAATAGTCACTGGGGGAAAGGAATGGAGGCAAATACGTTATTCCTTGTGTTGAAGCAGACCAAAGCAGACCTGCAGCATCACCGCAGCTGATGGGCTGCAATGGTTGTGGCACATGAGGCTGTTTTCCAGACCCCAAGACCACAACAGAAGAGTCCATGCTACCATGTCCCCATCCCTGGCAGTGTTCAAGGCCAGGTTGGACACAGGGGTTGGAGCAAGCTGCTCCAGTGGAAGGGGTCCATGGCAGGGGTTGGAGCTGAGTGAGCTTTAAGGTCCCTTCCAAGCCAAAGCAGTCTGGGATTCTGGGATTTGGGTGTGTGCAGGGGTGGTCTCAGGTGAGGAACTCTAACTGAGCTGGGTGTTCAAACCTTGGGGATCAGCATGGGATGTAAGACAGGACAGGAGCAGACAGCAGCCAGGCTGGGGGTGAGGCTGAGCCCATCCAGAGCCTGGGCTTGGCGCTGGGCTCAGCCTGCACGGGCTCTTCTCCTGACTTTTAGGTTTCCCTGCCTCCTGCCCCGGCTCTGATCTCAGCCCCCGCCTTGGCTTCAATCCCTTCCTGGCACACAGCACCCAGCAAACAGCACCCAAACCGGCTCGCAGGGATCCCCGCTGCCTGCCTGGGGCAGGATCCAGGCGCCTGGGGCAGAGCCCGCCTGTTCCAGCAGCCACCCAGCCCTCCCATCCCGCTCACAGGCCTTAAATGTCGAGGCTCTCGGCAGCCCCTTGGCCTCTTTGCCTGCAGCAGCGTTCCTCGGCCTTTACCAATATCACAGGAATGCAAACAGAGCACAAACCACAGCGCCGAGAGCGGGGCTGAGGCAGCCCCGTTACTAAATATGGAGCGTGGAGAGCCCCGAGTGCTGCTGCTGGGAGCAGGAGGTGGAGAAGGAAACGTCTCCAGCCATCTAAGGAGGATCTGACAGGGTCCTCTCCTGGCTATGAGCTCCCATCCCAGCTCCAAACCCAGCAGGGCAGGAGCAGCATCCTTGCTGAGATTGAGTAGCTCTGGTTAACTGCTCCTGTAGGTACCGGGCTGGTGTTGAGGCTCTCTGCATCACCCTGGGGCTCATTGGGAGCATTCAGACAGACCCTCCAGGAGGGGAATTTGGGCACATTTAAAGAGCTTTTCCTAATGATCCCAATGGCATCTGTCTTTCTCTCTCCCCTGAGTGGGTTTAGAGCTCTAACCCCAGTCCCTCATCTGCACTAGCACAGACCAGACCTTTGAGAGACAGCAGGAAAATCCTTTCCCCGCTTCCTAGAAATCAGCCCCCAGCTCCTGCATGGCAGGAATTCCAGCACAGAGCACTCACCCAGTTAAGGACCCTTTGTTTTCCTAAGAGCTCCACAAAACAATTAGCCAGGAGCCGCTGCCACTTCCAGAGGCCAAACGGCCTCATTACAGAACATTCCTGCCGTGTCCTGTTGACTCAGCTGGAGCGATGCCACCGAGTCAATCACCAGGGCACTCCCTCGGCCCATCTCCGGTGCTAATGCACTGTGGTATGTTTGGCTCCTTTCTGATTGCTTTTGGGGCAGGGCAGGTCAAAGTGTTGGTTTTTCTCCCCTAAAGATAAGGGCTTCAAGCTCCCTGATGGGGCCCAAGCACAGCAGTGGGGAGCAAGCTGGGAACCTGAGTTTGGAGCTTGGTGTCACCCGCAGCCTGTGCCATGGAAATGGGAAGAGCCGCAGCCTGAAGTGGGGACCACACAGGCAGGATGGGCAGAACCTCTGGGATACATGGCAGGGGATTATGAACACCTCAAAGCACAGGGACAGGAGCACCATTGGACCACTCCCTGGTGACTTGCTTCCATGGGATGACCTTCTTCTCCACTTTGGCCATGTATTTCCTTCTTGAAGCAATGCCTTTTGTCCACTTGTATGGCTCTGGGTGCCAACATGGCACGGTAGAAGCTGCCCCGAGCAATCCAGATGCATGCAGAGGGCCACAGGGAAGGACAGATGCAGTGCGATGGGATCTCAGTCCCCAGACTGAGCTTCTCCACTGACATGGGCTCGGAGGGTAAAGCCAGTGGTAGGGGAAAACAAGGGCAACATTCGCCAGCCTCCTTATCTGGGTCTGGAGAAGAACCAGGACTTCCTGCTGTGGAGAGTGGCTGCAGCACAGGCACAGCACAGGGAAAGCCTCTCTGCAGCATCCCTGCCTCATCCTCTAGAGCCAAAGCCATGCTTCCAGCCTGGAAGCTCCCACAGAGAGTGCTACCAGCCAGGCTGTGCAGGGAGCAGGGATGGAGCAGCAGCTCCCCTCACATCTGCATCCATCCATGCACGCCGCATCCCGGGAGCCTGGCCAAGCCTCTGGTGTCCGTGCCAGGTGGACGCAGGAGCGCAGCCCCATGGGGACACTGGTATTTCCCTGCTGGCATAGGTCTACTGAGATTAGTTCTGGCTGAGTGCCTGTTTATAGGCCTGAGCTCTGCTCACTGCCCACACGGCAAAGAACCCGCTTGTGCTCTCTGCTGCAATGGGATGCTGTTATGGGAGCAGAGAACAGGGACCAGGCAAGGAAACATTAAACCTCAGAAGGTGCTAAACCCTGCTCTGAGGATGCACTTCTCTTGCTGCTGTGCCAGATGCAGAATGGCACATCATGATGATGGGCCATCAGCACACACAGGCAACGTGGGTGATGCTGCTAGCACATGATCCTGATAGCCTGCAAGGGCAGGGGACACAATGCTGGTAAAACACAGGCTGAGGATACAGGTCATCTTTGTATTTAAAGGTCCTGCAGTCCCCTGGATGTGGACACCCAGGTTTAAGGAGCTGCTCTCAGCACTGTACCACTGCTCGCCTGTCCCTGCATTGCTGCCCCTGTATCCCCAAAGGGAGGGGAAGGGTCTGTGGACCTGCAGCATGAGCCTGCAGTACATGCAGGATCCTGCAGAGCAAGCAGAGGAAACGGTCTCTGCACTGAGGTAACCCACAATCTCCTGCTTCCATCAGCAGCAGGGCCAGGACAGGACTTCATCTTCCTCCCATCATCTCCAGGGGCAAAGGGCAGATCCCATGTCAGTCTCCAAGGCCCAACCACCTTTTTAGTGCAGCAAAGCCACTTGGAAGAGTCAAGGTAGCATCACCCCAGAGCACTGCATGGGATGTGCCACCTCCTGCCACCACTCTCCACAGACTCTCTGTCTCTTGCTCCAATCCTTGCTCAGGGAAAGGCTCCTGAGCATCCACCCAGCCCATAAACACAAAGCTGATGGGTGCTGCCTGGATGCAGGGTGGAAGGGCAAGGGAAGGGCTGGTACTCACTGCACAAGAAGCAGGACTTGTGGAAGCTGTTGCCTTCGCATTGCACTTCCTCGGCGAAGTACACGGCCTTCTGGCAGACACCACACTTCTTCCCTCCTCCCCAGTTCGGCATCCTGCAGAGACAGCATGGGCAGGAACGGCGTCAGGGTGGGAGGTGAGGCAGGAACGGGGCAGGAGGCGGGGATGGGGCAGGAGGCAGCGATGGGGCAGGAGGCAGCGATGGGGCAGGAGGTAGGGACGGGGCAGGAGGAAGAGATGGGGCAGGAGGTAGGGATGGGGCAGGAGGCATGGATGAGGCAGGAGGAGGGATGGGGCAGGAGGTAGGGATGGGGAAGGAGGCAGGGATGGGGCAGGAGGCAGGGATGGGGCAGGAGGCAGCGATGGGGAAGGAGGCAGCGATGGGGAAAGGGATGGGGCAGGAGGCAGGGACGGGGCAGGAGGAAGGGATGGGGCAGGAGGCAGGGATGGGGCAGGAGGCAGCGATGGGGCAGGAGGCAGCGATGGGGCAGGAGGCAGCGATGGGGCAGGAGGCAGCGATGGGGCAGGAGGAAGGGATGGGGCAGGAGGCAGGGACGGGGCAGGAGGCAGGGACGGGGCAGGAGGCAGGGACGGGGCAGGAGGCAGCGATGGGGCAGGAGGCAGCGATGGGGCAGGAGGCAGGGATGGGGCAGGAGGAAGGGATGGGGCAGGAGGAAGGGATGAGGCAGGAGCGGGGGGAGGAGGCAGGGACGGGGCAGGAGGCAGGGACGGGGCAGGAGGCAGGGATGGGGCAGGAGGCAGGGATGGGGCAGGAGGCAGGGATGGGGCAGGAGGAGGGATGGGGCAGGAGGAAGGGATGGGGCAGGAGGCAGCGATGGGGCAGAACAAGGGGGCTGTAGTGGGCATCCCCAGCAGTGCTCCAGCAGCTGTTCCACATCTGCATGTGCAGGCACCACCCCTGTTTGCTGCCTGCACACCCACAGGGCTGCCATTAGCAGCATGACCCCAGCACCCAGCAGTATGAGCAGCCTCCTGAGGACCACTGCCCCTGCCAGCCAGGAGCAGCAGAAATCCGGCTGTCCCCAAAGCCATGGGACCTCCCAGCTCCTTTCTGTGCCAGGAAAAGGAAGGAAGCGGGACAATGATGGGAAACTGTGCTCACAGAGGTACCCACGGCACCGACCGCATGAGCTCACAGCCCTGCTATGGCCCCTGGACCGAGCAGTGCAGCGGAGCCAGGGTGAGTGATCCTTGCTGCAGGACAGGGTACAAGTTGTCACCATGGCTGGAAACAGCTCCAGCTTCTCCTCCCCAAACTTCCCTTCCATTTCTGCCACCGCAAGGCAGGGGTACAGTGAGTGTTACCCAAAGGGCAGGAGCTGACCCCGATACCACCTGGCTCTTGTCCCCTATAGCATCATCAGCTTCTGCCTTGCCTGGCCATCTCCCTGTACAAGCTTCTACATCCCCTCCAAGACTGCAGGTACAAGGAAGTCCACAGCCCCAGGGACATAGGCTCATGCCCAAGGCAAAGCACCAGCCCCAGCCACCATGCAGCTCCTTGGCAGCATAGAAATGCTTCTGTTTCTCTCTCCTCTTCCCTGAAATGCATCTGATGAGACATGGTCAGAAGGCCCCTTGGTCTGCAAATGTGCAGATAACCCCAAAACACTGTGAGCAGTGAACAGAAGCAGCAGAGCTCCAACCCTTGATCCTTCTGAAGACCAGGCCAACATAAACCTCAAGACATTCAAGCACCAAAGTCCTATGAGGAGATTCTGAGCAAGGTGGTTGGTGGAGAAGGCTAAGGAGGATCTAACAGCAACCGAAGCACTCTGCCAAAACACTTTCTGGTTGTGCCCAATGGCATAAGAAAGGTGATGATCACAAGCTGCAGCTTGGGGGGTCTCCAGAGGCCTCTCTCCATCAACACTTCTGGAATTCTCCATCCTTCTCCCACGTGGGGACAGGCAGCAGAAATCACCCTCCCCATGGATCTAAGGAGGAAATTCTTTCCTGTGAGGGTGGTGAGGCACTGGAATGGGTTGCCCAGGGAGGTTGTGAATGCTCCATCCCTGGCAGTGTTCAAGGCCAGGTTGGACAGAGCCTTGGGTGCCATGGTTTAGTGTGAGGTGTCCCTGCCCATGGCAGGGGGTTGGAACTGGATGATCTTAAGGTCCTTTCCAACCCTAACTATTCTATGATTCTATGTGCTCCCCAACTCCCAGATAGTTAAAGCAGCAGGACCAAGGTCCCCCAAACCTGCCTGGCAGGAGAGGGATGTTGAACACAACAGGACCAGGGGCTGTATGAACACCAACCGGGGTGAAGAGGGAGAAGGAAGCGCTGAGACCCCCCCTGCTCACAGCGCACAGCGAGATCTCGGTGCCTTGCAGGGTATGGGAAGGTCGAGCTCTGCCCTGCGTGTGTTCTGCCAGGAAACGGAAAGGGGAAGCTGCGCTCAGCCTGGTTTAACAGCGCCAGGCACCGCTCAGGGGCTCCGCTGGCTCCCGGGGCTGGAGCTGCGATCCCAGCGCATGGGGAAGTCTCTCTTGTGAAGGCGCTGCGGTGCCAGATCCCTCCCTTCCAGCCTGGTCATCCCAGCCCCAGCCTTTGGATTGCCTTAAAAGGACACAAAGTGCTCCGCTCCAGGGCCTGTTGTTTTCCTCCTGCGCCCGGAGGAGGACCCGACCTGGTGCAGGAGTTTCCTTGGAGGGCAGAAACATGGAGCAGCATCAGGGGCCCGCTGGCCCCCTTTGTCCCTGTGCCCAGTGTGCCAGACCCCTGGTCAGCAATAGCAGGACACAACAGCCCCCTGCCCATCCCCACCACTCCCTGCCCCACAGCATCGTGCTCAGGGACAAGCTGCCTCGTGTGGGTTGCAGCCTGCTGCTCCCCTTTGCCTCCAGGGCACCTTTTCTTTCCCTTTACAGCAGCAGGGAAGGAAGAGGCTGTGTTTGTCCCAAACAGCGGGGTTCATCTGCCCAAACTGAGACAACAGCAGTGGGGACACGTTCCCTGAGCTCCTGCAAGTCTATGGGAGGAGAGAAGATGCTTCTGGGCGAAGCTCATCTGATGTTCGCCTCAAGATCGACTCTTTTTGCTGCCTCTTTACCTCCATCCACCATGGAAGGAGGCAGTTTAAGCCATGTCACAGTGATTTCAGTGGGCAAAGCCACATCCCAGCAATGCACCAGGGTGTGGGGAGAGACCATGGAAATGAGTTTGTCCTGGGGATACCCAGGCTTGTTATAGCTCACAGCTGGGCACAGAGGAAGCCTGAGATAAGATTTAACTGCTGGGAATGCCCTCTTAGACCACAGTGTACACAGGCACACGCTGAGAGCCGCAGGAGACACCAAAAAGCAGTTTCTGCTACAGGTCAGTATCAGCAGGAAAGACAAAGAAGCAGAGCACCCTGCTCATGGAGCCCAGGACCCACACTGGCCATCTCAGAAGCCAGTTTCTGAGACCAACCGGTCCTGCCCATCCCAATGCCATGAGTAATGACTACTGGAGGACATGTCACAGAGTCTGCAACCCTTCCAGCCTGGTTTTCTGTTGGAATTGCGTGTATTGTGCACCATGGAGCTCACACCATTTTCTGCCCCATTGCAACACACAGTGACCGCAGTCACACTTCTCCATATCACCCTGGACGCACTCACAATGAGGAACAGGAGGCAGCAGTCCTGCAGCCAGGGACCTCGCTGAGCATAAGGTAAGAGACAAACCCAGAGCTGCCAAAACACAAGATTCTTTTCCTCCCTCCTGCAGCTCCACATCCCATGTACCACAGCCTCACAGCTAACACAGCCCTATGGACAGCAGCATCCTTGGCAGTGTTCAAGGCCAGGTTGGACACAGGGGCTTGGAGCAAGCTGCTTCAGTGGAAGGGGTCCCTGCCCGTGGCAGGGGTTGGAGCTGGAGGAGCTTTAAGGTCCCTTCCAACACAAACTACGCTGGGATTCTATGATCCTCTGCACCAGGCATGGCTCAGCCCTGGAGCTGGCCATTGTCTGCTCTGTGTAGGTCAAGGGGCCTCAAAACCCAAGCTCTTTAACCAAGAGCTGTGTCACTGGGCAGTGCAGACACAAGCGAGGCCCACACAGAACCACCCAGGTCTGACACTTCTGGAAGTCAGTTTTAGTGTCTGATGTCTGGATCAGATGTAAGCTATGGACTCACCTGTGTTTCAGGGCTACGCTAAACCACCAGTATAGACCAGTATGGAACCAGTATGGTCTGGTGGTTTGGGGTATCCTCTAAACCTGGGCCGTAAGGGGAAGCAGTGAGATGAAGCCAAGTAGGAACACAATGTCAGCCTCTCCTTAGACCAGTGTGCAGAGCTGGCAGCCCCCTGCCAGAGAATGGCTGGGATTGAACTGCTGGAGCTGAAGCAGCACCCACCACCATGTGCTGCTATGGGAGCACCCAGAGAACCAGAGCATCATAGAACACCAGGCTGAAGGATCATCTGCTACAACCTTCCTGGGCAAAGCATGACCTAGACTGTATGTCCAAGCACCCTGTCCAGTCAAATCTGAAGTGTCCAACAGCATTGAACAGCACTGCACGTTCTCCCACCTATGTGCTGGGATGTTCTACTTGTATCCTACAGTAATGAATAGCAGAGCAATCACTTTGTGCTTGGAGGAGATCACTGAGGAACAGAAGACTCATGCTGGCCCCTGTAAAAGGTTCCTTCTTTGTTCCAATCAGTGTTAATAATGCAAGTGGATGCCAGAAAACATCACCAGTGCTGCATGAACTTCACTCCCTAGAATGTTCACAGCAGTCCATGCAGTATCATTATATACCCTGGCAAAGGGACAAGTCAGAAGGGAAGAAACCATAGCAGGAGCCCCAGGCCCTGGGGTCTGCTCAGTGCCTCTCAGTACTGGGAGCAGCTGGAATAGGCATGAAACGAGCAGAAATCTGAAGCAGGAGGCACCAAAACAGATGGGACGTGCGGGCAGAGCAGGAAGGGAGCAGTTCATGGGTATCACAGGGAACAGCATGTGGGAAATCACCAGGGCAGAGCACCAGGGACTCAGCACCAGTAACTGCCATCCGGTCATAGAGGACTCTGCCCCAGACAGACGGTGCCAGTCACAAAGCAGCTTTCACATCACCTGGGCACAGGTTGAAATCACACTGCAAGAGGGAGGTGGGAGCTTCACCCCTGTCCCCCTCACACGTCAGCTGGGTGGAGCAGTGCCTGCGCTGCCAGCAGTGGAAGCAAAGGTCGGTGGTGGTGGTGGTGAGCTGGTGAGCGAGAGGAGGACGGGGGCCTGAGGGTGATGAGCACCAGGACACAGCAAAGCCCTGGGCATCACCAGGGAGAAATCACAGAATGGAGCTGTATCAGGCCAGGCATCTCTGAGGGCTCTGCCATGAGAGGAGGCAGAAAGTCAGGAGGGTCCATGGTCCCCTCATGTGGAGCTCATCTACTCTACAGGTCCTGATGCAGCACAACCTGGTGCTGCCTCTGCTGCCACCAATGAAGCAGCTTCCACGTTTGCTGGGCCAGGGAAAGGGCTGGTATGGCCAGTGCTGCCCAGAGCCGGGCTATTGCCTGTGGACCAGCATGCTGTGGCTGCTGCCCACACTGCTTCCAGGCCTTGGCTGCAAAGGCAACTTGATCCCAACTGCGCTCCTCAAAGAAAAAACTAATTTTAACCAGGAAAAAGAAAGCCAAAGAAATTTTCAGGGCTGCCAAGAAAAGCTTCCTGCCGGAATCCCAATCCATAACCTGACCAAGCTCACTTGAGCTTTTGCAAAGCCCTTATTTCCTAATCGGTCACATCCTTGTCACTTTGTGCTGCCTTCCAGGAGCAGGGAGCCCAGAAGAGAAACCGGTCACACCAGAGGTTCAGGCAGTGACATCCCAGCCAGAGAGACCCCGATCCAGGGGACGGGAGAGGCGGGCAGTGAGTCTGAGGCTGGGCAGACGGAGCCACCGAGCAGTGGGAGCAGTGAGGGCACCGTGGTCCTCCCCAGGACCAGGAGTGCCCACAGACACTGCCCCCCCATCTCAGCCTCACCACGAACCACCAGGAGATGCAGCATCCAAAGCCCATCTCACACCAAACACCACTCCAGCGCTTCACCTTCTCACCCGCTCCATCCCTGTCTCTGTTTGCCAAGCGCTCATCAACACCCGCTCCTGATGCGCGCATCCGCGCATCCCTCCTACGCGCTGGCCCCGCTGCCAGCTCGGAGGTTTGGGAAGCGGTTCCTGCAAGCGGCTCCCCCGTGTACCCCGCCAGCTCCTCCGCAGCGGAACATCAGCGCACGGCAGCGGAGAGGCCCGGTCTCCGCGGTGTGAGCTTCACTCACAGCGAACCCACAAGGGAACGGGATGCAAGCGCCGAGCGAGGACCACAGCCCCGAGCTGTCCCATTGCCAAGCGGGGAGTAGCGCGAGTAGGAAGTCGGGAAGCACCCGCGGATGCCCGCTCTCTATAGCGAAGTTCACCGGGGCTGATGCAAGAGCTTTGGCTTCCGCGTGTGCCCCATGTGCGCGCACACGGTGGGGTCCGCGCCCCCGCCCCGCATCCCACCGGGTGGGTGATCCCGAGGGATGCGGGAGCTCCGGGGATGGAGCCGCCCGCTCGGGACAGGACCTGAACCGTTGGCTCCGCAACGGGACCGAGCAACGGGACCGAGCACCGGAGGGCCAGCGGCTGCCCCCCCCGGCCCGCACCTACCTGCAGCTGGGCCGGGCCGGGCCGGTCGGTGTCGGGAGCGGCGCTGGGGCCGGCGGCCGCCCGGGGCTTTTGTTGGCGACGGGAGAAGGCGGGTCCCGGGGCGGCGGCGATTTGCGCTCGGCGCCAGCCAGGCCTGATGTCACGGTGGCCGCCGCCCCGAGGGCCCCACGGAAGGAGGAACCAAGGGCCGGGATCGCCACCGCCACGGGGAGCCCCCGCCGCCGGGGTCCCCATCACCCCGCCTACCCCAGCCCCACACCACTGGGAATCTGCCCCCATCCCACTCCCACAGCCCGGAGTTCTGCTGGGACAGGGAACACCACAAAGTGACCACACACTGGCTGTATCATATGCAGAGTTTATTAAGCAAGCACACTAAAGCAAGCACGCTAATGGGAATTAGGTAAATATCTCTCTATGTATAATGAATAAGTACAATAAAACCAATCAGAGATATAAAGTAGTGAAGAAAGGCAGCAATGCACTAAATCATTACTGCACACAGAGAAGAGAGATTAAGAAGAAATACTTCACCAGTTACCTCTGGATCATCATCCAGGCCCACACTTCCAGCTGGGAATACAATACGCTGTGGCAAACAACATACTTTGCAATGTCACTCAGTCATGAGAGGGAATCAACTCTCAGCTAGGTTCCCATCCATTATATGGGGTGAATCCTTTGGAGCAGGAAGTGTATCACAGAGCCATAGAATCATATAATCAGCTAGGTTGGGAAAGACCTTTAAGATCACCCAACCCAGGAGTACCCCAACACTGCCAAGTCCCCGTTAAACCACATCACTGAGGTACTCGTCTCCATGGTGAGTGAACACTTGTAGGGACCGTGACTCCAGCACTGCCCTGGGCAGCCTGTTCCGATGCCTGACCTCAATGAAGAGATGCCTGTCAGATGTCCCATAGCCCTTGTCGTGCTTCCATGCCCAAGCATCCTGGAAGCAGCCTAGAGGAAGTGCGGCTGCAGGGCCATGAAGAGAGGCTGCTGTGAGTGCCACCCACTGTCACCTGCTGCGGGAGGAGCTGCCTTTGCTGCTTGCAGCTGTGAAGCTGTATTTTGAATGCAGAGTTTCAAATAACGAGTGGTGCTGCCCTCAACACCAGAAGGATGAGGAGCTGTTGGAGCGAGGCCAGAGGAGGCCATGGAGATGCTGTAAGGGCTGGAGCAGCTCTGCTCTGGAGCCAGGCTGAGAGAGCTGGGCTGGGGCAGCCTGGAGAAGAGAAGGCTCCTGAAGGGGAGACCTTAGAGCAGCTCCAGTGCCTAAAGGGGCTGCAGGAAACCTGGAGAGGGGCTTGGGACAAGGGATGTAGGGACAGGCCAAGGGGAATGGCTTGAACCTGCCCGAGGGGAGACTGAGCTGAGCTCTTAGGCAGAAGCTCTTCCCTGTGAGGGTGCTGAGGCGCTGGCACAGGGTGCCCAGAGAAGCTGTGGCTGCCCCATCCCTGGCAGTGCTCAAGGCCAGCTTGGACACAGGGGCTTGGAGCAAGCTGCTCCAGTGGAAGGGGTCCCTGCCCGTGGCAGGGGTTGGAGCTGGAAGAGCTTTAGGGTCCCTTCCACCCCAACCCAGTCTGTGGGTCTGTGAAATGCCACCGGTCTGGGGGACGTGTCAGTGACCATTGATCCGTGCGCTCCTCCTGCGGTTCCTCTGGTGAATAACCTGAGGCAAATCCCCTGTTGGGTACCACAGAACAACCTGAGAGTGCAGCCCCTCTGCTGGGCACCATCACCGCCTGCCAGGAGAGGGATGCTCAGCACCGCAGAGCCACGAGAGGGCGCAGTGGAGCCAAGCCCCATTGGAAACGTTCCTGGTTCGGGCCGGTAGAGCTGGGAACCCGCTGTGGCTGGTGGGGCTGTGCCCCTCGCCCCACTCCCATGGCGCTGCTGCCGTCCTGGCCATCGCTGCCCCTCGGCCGTGCCCGGTGCCGCGGGCCCGGCGGGCGGCGCTGCCTCCTCGCACCGCGTCCGCTCGGTGGGAGGGAGCCGGGCGCTTGCGATGGCGGCGGCGCGCGGGGACTGCTGGGAGTTGTAGTCCGGTGCCGGGCAGGTGCAGCGGCGCGCGGGGGCTGCCGGGAGTTGTAGTCCTTCCTGGGCGGGCAGGTGCGGCGGCGCCCGCGGGAACTACACGTCCCGGCATGCCGCGGGGCGCGGGCGGCGCGGGCGCGGCGGCGGCGGCGGTGGGGGCGTATCGAAGATGGCGGCGGGGGCGCTGCGCCCCGCTCCCGGCTGAGGCGCGGTGCGGTCCCTGCGCCTCAGTGCGGCGGCGGCGATGTCAGAGCCGGAGCACCTGGGCGGGAAGCGGGCCGAGTCGGCGCGGCTGCGGCGGGCCGAGCAGCTGCGGCGCTGGAAGGGCTCCCTGACCGAGCAGGAGCCCGTGGCGCCGGGGGGCGGCCGGGGCCGACACCGCGGCGATGGGGGGTCCCGCGTCCGTTTCGAGGAAGGCGCTGTCTTCCTGGCCGCCTGCTCCAGCGGGGACACCGAGGAGGTGAAGCGGCTGCTGGGCCGCGGCGCCCGCATCAACACCACCAACGTGGACGGGCTGACAGCCCTGCACCAGGTACCGGCGGCCCGGCGCTGGGGAACGGGGAGTCGGGCCCGGGCCGGGGGTTGTTGTGGGGGGGACTCGGCCTCATCCCTCCGCGCTCCTCGCTGGGGCACCGGGGCTCGGGAGGACGCGTTTCGGGGGTGCCCCGGTGCTGTCGCGGAGGCAGCGGGTTGTTTATAACCGATACGGGTTTGAGCCCCGTCAGTGTGCCGGTGCCGTGCCCACGGCAGCGTGTTCCGGTCCTCACAGGGATACCGAGTGCCTCAGGAAAAGAAAACAGTGGGCTGGCAGAGCCGATTCATTCATTTTGGGAAAACTTCCTCTTTGTGCTTGGGATCTGCTGAAATAGGGGAAATTTCCCTCCCGGGGGGTTCGTTTTCACAAGGTCAGAAGCGTCTCCTACGCTTCTGTGTTGTGTTGTGTTAGAGTTGCCTTGAAACTCCCCAAACTGCTCTTTGGCAACCTGTGCACAGAGCAGAGGGTGCCCGCGTCTCAGACAGGTGACATGGGCTCTATTAATACTCATCCAAATGTGCTGAAATGATACAAAAGTGGGCGCAGAAGTTGGCTCCGGAGCAGTAAAGCCTCCCCTGTCTGGCAGCGTGTGCTGTGTTTCACCCGTAGCTGTCAGTGTGTAAATGAGCAGGAATGTGAGGGAGCCTGTGGAATCACTGTCCTTTAATACTGGGGAACCTGTTGCTGTTGAAGACTGGCTCAGGATTCAGCAGGGCTTGTGAAATCAGTGTCCCAGATTGTTGCATCTGGTCAGTGAAATGGATCTGATTTGAATCCAGGCCAGGCTCAGGAAGAACGTTTTCTTAGCTCAAGATCTGGTAGATTAAGCATGGAGCGTAGCGACGGGGCCGGGAAAAGCAGCGCAGTCCAGGAATAACATCTGGGAATAATGTGTCTGTAAAGAATAATGCTTTAAGAGCACAAATCACAGGATGATAATTGAGATCATTGGGCTTCCTTCTTTGCTGGGCTGGTATTACTGGACTGAAGCATTTGGGACATGTAGAAGCTCACTTGCTGGTGGCTGTCACTGAACAAGGGGCAGCGGTATTTGTTCATTTTGGTCTGGAGTTCCAAAAATAAGTTATGAAGCAAAGAGCACAGGAACTTAGGGACTGACAGGTTGGGTACAGCTTCAGTTGGCAGAGCAGTGAACTTTGTAATGCACCAGCTTGTTCTTTTTTGGTATAGCAGATAGGTTATGCTGCGTTAGTAATCCCCAGTACAGCACGAATACACGTGTTATCAGATCAATAAGTAATCATATAGGCCCTAGTATGAGCTGGTTACTGAAAGCATTTCAACAAGCAAGAAGGAATGAATCTAAGGTGGGTAGAAGTGTGGTGGAAGTGGGATGACTTCATGGGTGCTTCCCAGCCAGGACTGATTGCGATCTCCTCAGAAGAGCCCATGTTATCTTCTTGATGTATGTAACATGAGGCTTGGCCACCAGAGTATCCTGAAGTGCATTAGACCCACTAGACCATGATCTCTGCAAGGTCAAACCTCTTGCCAAGCCACATACTGACAAGCAAGCTGCAACTGTAATTGTGTACCTAAAGAATGGTGTCTTGGGAGCTAAGGACGGGGTAACATTGCACACTGTAATGCTGAGGGCTTGATACTTGGAAGAGCTTTCAGATGAGTGAGTGGCCAAGAAGATGGGAGCTGTACAAGCAACTCTTCAGCAGCTTCACTGGAAGGGAGGTTGGCTTGGCTTTGACTGTAATAAAAACTTGGTTTCAGTGCCCTGTTGCTGTAGTAACAGTTTTTCATCTGCACATCTCCGACAACACCAAAGCCATGTTCTTGTGCACCCAAATAGAACAGACACCCGTTTGTTAAAGGTTTTGTTGTACGTGTGTCTCCCGAGTCTAGAAATCTGTATCAGGTGAAAATGCAGATTGTCAGGTTGGAGAGGTTGCTGTGAGTTCCTTATCATTGTGCAGGTCCAAAATAGGTCTGATTTTTATATGCCTTGGCGAATGATACTGCCTGTGCTCAAGCATCAGCTGAGGGGTGGATAGGCTGAGGGTCCCCAAGGTGCTGCTTGACAAATTGCATGAGTGGAGCAGACATGGGGATGTTTTTATGACTTCTCTTAGTATTAGACCCAAAATGTGGTGAGATACCAGGGGCAGATGGTGGTGACACCTGCTCTGGTTTAATGCTTGTGAAACCAAGTGGCTGTGCAGTGAGGAAGGAAACCCCACATTGCAGAGTTGACTTTGTGGAAGGGAAGATCGGGTATAAATCTTTGGTTAAAGAACTTTACTATTAAGTGAGGCTCACTGGGTACAAACAAGTGTCTTTTAGGCAATGGAAGTGGGAACACAGTCAGTTGACTGAATTTACCAGAGTCACCATCAGCTTCTGCAAAGTCTAAGACCAGTCTTACAGCTTGGGTTAGTTGGCTTGATGTGCCCAGTGCCCCCACATGTGCTGTGACATTCAGCACCAGTAAACCTGCACTTTCTCTTCATGGTCCGCTGTGACTAAGAGCTGTTGTGTACTTGCTGGGTGAGGAGCTGCCTTGGCTATATTGTGCTGTGAAGCTGTATTTTGAAAATAACCTTTTAAATTACAAGCGGTGCTTCCGAGCCTCCAGCTCGCGTCGTGCTCCTTGTTGGGAGCATCAGGTGCAGCACAAACCCACACCACGGGCCAGTGTCTGCTCCCTGCCTTGTGGCTTCAGTTATGCTTTACCTCAGTGCCTGCAAAATGCTTCTGGGTGAACATCAATCCCATCTTCTCAGTGATTAACTTAATTCATTGACTAGAGTGTATTTTTGGCAGTGGCTTTGTGTGTAATGCAGAAGCATTGAATCATAGAATGGTTAAGGGTTGGAAGCGACCTTCAAGATCATCTAGCTTCAACCCCAAACATGAACCTGGCCTTAAAACACTTCCAGGGATGGGGCATCCACAACTTCTGGAAGTGCTTAAGGAAAGGGAGACATTACCTAAGTGTGAGTGAACATTTATAAATCAAGAAAACCACTACCAGTAAATGTAACAAACTGGTGGTGGGAGTTGAATGGCTTTGGTGTTTGGAGGTGGTGGCAAGGGGGCATGAAATGTTTGCTCTTCCTCCTGAGCAACAGATGGAAGCGGAGAGTAAACGTTAATGAAAATTGAGTCTTAAGGGAAAAAGTTCTGGTGCTTCCAGTTGGGAAGGCGTCTCCCAATGGAACAGACAGTGCTTCTTTAAGGCATCTTTAAGGGCTGATTCACCAGTGATGACAGCAGAAAAGATTGTTTATCCTCTGCTTGCCCTTTGATTTACCTGCTGTTTCCCTTTTTGCCTGTTCCATAGAGACATGAGTTGCTCATGAAATAATTCTTGGGTTTCTGACACTTACAAGACTCTTGAAGTAGCTTGGTACTTGCTTTTGGTTGATTTTCAGGTGCTGGGCACTGGTAATTCAGAAGCTGCTTCATGAAAATCAGTACTTTGTGCAGTGATCCTGGATTAGAGGAGGCTGCAGCCTCTTTGGCAGTCCCAGTGTAAGCTATTCCTCCTCCTGAGCCAGAGCTGGAACACCACAGGCTTGTCTAGTCGCTCTTCGGAGCTTTCTGAAGCAGCATCCATGCTCTCCCTAACTGCAGCAGCCTAGAGATTGTTGGAAGAACCATTGAGGTGCCAACATGGGCCCAAAATCTGTGAGACAGAGGGGAGGAAAGAGAGCTCCTATGTAGATTGGTGTTTTTTCCAGCTGGGACAGAGCATGGAGCAAAGGGCTGGAACTGCAGTGGTGGCTGAAACAGCCTGGGTTTGTTTTACAGGGTAACTGAGGAGGACCTGACAGTCATTGCCCACACAGTGCTCCTATAGCAGCAGCTTCTAGAAGTTTCTTAATCACTGAAAGGTAAAAGCTAGCTTGTGCCTTGTGAGGATACAACACAACATCCATAAAATGACATGGAAACACTGCAGTGTTCAGGTACTCCATAAACAGTTACAGCTGTACTTCAAGGCAGTTTCACTTTTGCTCTTCTCATCAGTGATGACAGTGTCATACATCAAGATGTGTTTTTAACATTGGGTGGCTGCGTTGCCTAAAAATACCTGAATCCTGGGAAGAGAAGGTTATCTGGGGGGAGTCGTACCTTTCCACTGCGCTCTGCAAAGTGTCTTTCCAAAGGTATGCTTCTGCCAGTGAAAATAGAAGTTGCAAGCTGTTTGTACTGTATTTAATGCTGCTCATCAAGTGAGCAAATGAGACATATGACACTGTCAAAAATAGGGCTTGTCACTAGGGTAAGTGAAATGGGGCTTTTTTAGCTTTCACTTATCAATGGGAATACAGTAGTATGTACTCTGAATGAAGCGAGAGAGCTTGGAAGCTACCTACAGTACACCAGGAGCGTATAAGACACAGCTAGTTAAAATCTGAAGGGCTCTTTTACCAACCTAATGCTTTTATTTTCTTGCCTTTGGCTTACTCAGTCTCTTTCTTGGCTTGATGCTCTGTCCCTGTGGGTTAGTTTAATTGTCTGTCCCTCGCATCTCAGCTTCAAAACAATCTCCTAAGTGGGCAGAATTAACTCTAGACTAAACAAACTAACCTTGAACTGAGTTAGAGCCTGGGAGAAGCGCTGCTCCTGCAGCAGTTTGAGGAAGTGGGCCTTTGTTCTGGTAAGGAGCAGTTTCCCAACTGGTTAGTTGGGCTTCTGGGAGCTGAAGCCAACCACAGCATTGGGTGCTGGGAGGAAACCTCCACTGCTTTAGTAAGTGGATGGCTATTTTTTGTGATGGGAAGTGTGCATCTTCATTGTTTCCTTCCTCAGCCTCTGTTTATCCTATGTAGTGATTACATGAGTCAAGCGCTGTTGCTCCCCATAAACAGTGAGCAAGTGAACTGGTAGGATCTTCAGCTACAACTTCCTTTATGGCAGCAGGTAGAAGTGCTGCCGCTGGTCCCATAGTGCTGCCTGTGGAAAGGTTCTCATCCCCACAGCAGTGGTGCTGGGCAGGCCGGAGCTCTGGCTGGAAA